GAAGGGAGAGGGGAATGGGTACAGGGGAGGGGAGAGTGGGGGGAGGGAAGAAGGGGCACATGGGGAAGGGAGGGGAGAGTGGGTGCAGGATGGGAGGGGTGAGTGGAGTAGGTGCAGAGGAGGGGAGGGGAGAGGGGAACTTTGGCCTCTCCTGGAGGCTGGCGGAGACTCACTTGGCTCAGATCCTGGCTCCCGGGGCAGGTGGGGCCCAGGAGTCTCCATTTCTGACAGGTTCCCAGGGTGCTGCTGCCGTCTGGCCTGGCCACTTTCGAGGGCTTTTCCCTAAAGCTCGAGTCAGGGCAGGGTCCTTCTGGGGCCAGGGTCGCACTTTGAGCACCTTGCCCTGAAGTTTGGGCAGGGGTCCCACGCCTGTGTCTGAGGCACTGCTTGACAGCGTCCATGTGTGGAACGCGGACACACCACACTCTTTGCCAGGCTTGCCCCGGGCTTGCTGACCTAGCGGTGTGCAGGGCGCAGCCTCCAGGGAAGCCCTTGCTTCCTGCCCTCCCGGCCCTCCCAGCCAGTCTGCTGCCTGTCGCTGTTATGAATGGCGCTTTCTCCAGGATGCTGAAGGCTGCTTTCCAGCAAATCGTTGCTATAGATTTTTTTTGCCTGTAAATTTCTTGCATCATGTGTGGAAATGAACGTGGCAGTGTCTGGTGGTACGTGGCATTTGTTCTTAATTGCCCTGGATTTTGCTCTTAATTTTGTTTTTTGACAAGAGCACGTTTTTAATACACTCAAAACTCTTAAATAATAGCATTGCTTTACATATAAAGAGGAAAATAAAAATGTCTCTTAAACCCAGATTACCCCTGTTGGTAATAATAGTATAAAACATAGTAAATATTATGGCAAGTTATAGTAAGATTGTAGTAAAACTACTAATGGTATAGTAGTATTATGTATGTTGTGCAAATATGATATGTAACAGTACTATTATATATGGTATATATAATATACAGTAAAAATGCTAATAGTATAGTAACAGATAATAGTACATAATATACAATAGTACCAATATATATGGTTTATAATATATAGTAAAAATAATAGTATAGCAGTGTAATAAAGATAACAGTATAAAATCAAGTAAAAACAGCTTTTCCACCCTTTCTTTTCCACATTTGTCCCTTTCTTCAATGCTGATGCTTTTATGATTTCTTCCAGGAAAAAATTACCTTAGCTGATGTCTGCCCATCCTGATTTTTTCATACAAGAGTGGCCATACCCTTAACACCATCAGGACCCATGCATTTTTCACTTAGAAGAGATTGACTTTGGTCTTCTTGGTAACTCCCAGGATTTGTCACGAGGGTGTCCTAAAGTTTAGTCTTCCCATCAGGAGTCCCTTGGTCCCAGGCTTCTGCTGTTAGAACAAGGGTTGTAGTAAACACCTTTGTCCCTGTGTCTCGAGAGACATCTCCGAGTCCACCCGTCAGCATCTTGTGGGCCGTGGGTTCCTGGTGAGGGGGTGTGTTTGTGGACTGAAGGCAGACACCACCCTGCCCTCCAGAAAGGCCCTTTGCCTCCTGTCCCCAGCACCCTGGCACACAATGGCTGGCACAGAAATACAGCAAGGGAATTTATTATTCCAGTCACGGTAGAATGTGGGATCACTAGGAATGGACTTGATAAATATGTAATATCTGAGTGGAGAAAACTTTAACGTGTGCCTGTGGGACCCAAAAAAGGATTTGGATGCATCAAAGATGTGCCACGTTTTTGGATAGGAGCTCGCAGCCTGATCAAAATATCCATTCTTTCTTGGTTAAGCTGTGATTTGAGCACGATCCAGTAAAAACATCAACACATTTCTGGAGGTAGGGAACTTGATGAGCTGACTTTTAAAGAACATTTAGAAAAATAAACAAAGCAGCAGGAAGATTCAGAAAATAAGCAGGAAGATAGGAATATTCAAGAAGTAGTCTAACCAGTCTAAAATTGTTTAAAGTAGTGTTGCAGACGGATGGGTGAATGGATCACAGCCATTAACTTAAATGCATTTGGGACTATAATATATGGGAGAGGTGGTATCGCCGATCAATGAGGAAAACGGATGCACCTCTGGAGGGGAAATGCTGAATTCACATTGCCTGCTGGCCATAGATTCCAAACAGATCAGGGACTTATACATTAAAATGACATATGTATTACAAGGGCTTGCAGGAGAATTGTTTTATGATCCCAGGGCTTTCTGCTGTGGTATACAACTCAGAAGTCATGGAAAGCAAGATTGATAAATTCCACTTCATACAAAAATTCTTCATGGCAAAACTTACCTTATGCAAAGTTAAAAGGCAGACAACAAACTGGGAAAAGATATTTGCAACTGGTATCACAAATAAGAACTAAATTATCTAATATGTAAAGAGTTCTTACAAACCAATAGAAAAAAGGACCAATGACCCTAGAAAACTAAGCCAAGATTATTACACACAGACAGTTCACAGATGAGGAAATGCAGCATTTAAAGAAGGCTGTTTAGTAAGAGAAAGATATGAATTACACAACAAGAGAAAGATAAACTACCACCTCATGGGGAATCATTTTTTTCAGTATGAGAATAGGTGGAGTGTAGGAAGAGAAACACCCACGTATTTGTAAATCCCTGGTCCTCTAAGGAGGAAGTCTGGAAATATCTGGAAAAGTTACAGTGCATATATTTTTACCCAGCAATGCCATATCTGGGAATTTCTATTTGACATGTACCATACGTGCACACATAGGAAATCGTGTAGAGATGATCATTTTTATGAAAGCATTACTTTAAAAAGCAGACATTTGTGTGGTCTATGGTACATCCCAGGGGGTCTGTACAAGAGGGCGTGGAAGAACTCTGTGCATTGCAGTGGAAGGGTCTCCAGGAGGACACTATTGATGGGTAAAAACTGATTTTAAAAATCTGGGTGTGGAGTGTTCTGCCATTGTGTATGAGGGGAGGGAGCCACGCAGGCCTATTTGCCTGCACTTGAGTTCAGCCATTGTTAATGCCTGTACAAAAAGTTGGTTTTATTGATTGCCTCTAGGGACAAAGCCTGGGAGGTGGGATGCAGGGTTGGGTGTGGACTTTTTGCTGAGTATACGGTTATACCTTTGGACCTTTGAACTGTGTCTGCCTTTCTCAAAAATTAAGTAAGAATCAAAGTTTTAAAATAATTCAATAGGTCAATAGGTGAAAAATAGTCCTAGTTTTGATTTGCATCATTTTCATGTCGAGTTAATTTGAGAGTGACATCAGATATGGTTGAGCCTTTTACACTCTTTAGGCTGTTGCCTGTTCTTACGTGTTGCCCATTTCCTTCCTTCCTTCCTTCCTTCCTTCCTTCCTTCCTTCCTTCCTTCCTTCCTTCCTTCCTTCCTTCCTTCCAGCAGGATTTATTACGTTTCATTCAGGCACCCTGTTGATAAGAGGTGTTTTCCCATCCCCAGGCAGATATTTGCTACTGTTAATCCCATCCCCCTCCCCCCATAGTTTCCCAGTACTATCAGTCATTTTCTTATAGTATTACATTGGATGTTCAAGGTCCATTATATGAGTGAGAACATGTGATACTCGGATCTTTGTTTCTGTGAGAGGTCACTCAGTATAATTGAAAAGCTCCCACAGTGGGAGGGGACCCGAGGGGGGTTGCCCCATTTTGCACACTTTCTATTTGTGGGGCGGGAGAAGGAGAGTGGTTTCTTTGCATATCAAGGAAATTGGCCTTTTGTCTTAAATGTCACAGAAACTGTTCTAGTTCCTTTTTTGCCTTTGTTGATGCTACTTTCTGCCACCTAGCATCTTTGTATTTGCATGTGGGCTCTTCTTTCCCTTCCTCTTTCCCGATGGCCTTTCCTCTGTCCTCCAGTGGCCTCTCCTCTCCCAAATGGCCTCTCCCCTCCCCCCGTGGCCTCTCCTCTCCCCCATGGCCTCGCCTCTACCCCATGGCCTCTCCTCTCTCCCGATGACTTCTCCTCTTCCCGATGACCTGTCCTCTCCCCTGATGGCCTCTCCTCTCTCCTCCACAGCGGCGCTCCCGTGGTCCTCAGCAGTGAGGCTGGCCTCCCTGCGTGAGCTGCCCGCCCAGCTCCTGGACCTGTACCAGCAGGGTTTCTCACTGGCCGCCCTGCACCCCTTCGTGCAGCCCACCCAGGAGCGGGAGAGGACACCCCTTGAGCACATCTTCAGGGCCGTCCTGATCAAGAAGATCGATAGGTAAGACCTCTGTGGTGATGGGTGAGCACCCTGGTTGGATGGAGGAGGGGAGGCTGGTGGGCGCTGAGGCTTGTGTCCCAGGGCCTCTGCTGGGTGGAGCCAAAAGGGAGGCAGCCGGAGAGAGGTGTCCCGGTATCCTGGGGCAAAAACCACATGCCACATCTGGCTGGAGTGGACAGGCCCATCTTACACCTGCCCCTCCTGATATGCATTCGTTAAACTCACTGTAAAATGTACTGCCAGAATGATGCTGCTAATCACAGTCATATATATATGTCTGTGTGTATATATATATATATACACACACACACACACACATATATACACACACATATATGTATATAACATATATACATATGCATATGTTATATACATATATATATATGTTTTTTTTTTCTTTTTCTTTTTTTTTTTGGAAGTCAGGGTCTCACTCTGTCACCCAGACTGGAGTACAGTGTCACTGCCATGGCCCACCACAGCCTCAACCTTTTGGGCTCAGGTGATCCTCCCACCTTAGCCTCCTGAGTAGCTAGGACTACAGGTGTGTGCCCCCATGCTCGGCTAATTTTTTGATTTTTTTTTTTTTTTGGTATAGATGAGGTTTTGCTATGTACCCAGAGGGATGTCAAGTTCCTGGACTCAGGCAGTCTGCCTACCTGGGTTTCCCAAAGTGCTGGGATTACAAGCATGAGCCACCACACTGGCCAAAGTCTAATGCTTTTAATCTGAAAAGCATGCCTGGAAAACACAATCATTGTTTTAAAAGCTATATGCAAACTCGATGCTTCCCCCCCAATCTAGAAATACTTGGAAATGTGGAACATACTGTGAATCCTGTCAGTCACTTGGGGGTCACACATACACACACACATACACACACACATACACACACACACACACATTCACGCTCACATACACAAAGACTCACACACACTCACACATTCACACACACACACAGAGACTCTCACACACACACAACACACACACACACTCACACAGACTCACACTCACGCGCCCCCAAATCCAGCACTGCTGTAGGCTTGGCCTTGGTGTAGATTCTGGGCTGTGGGTGTTTTCCAGGTTGGCCGGTGCTGTTGGATGCTGACGGCCATGTGAGATTCAGCCAGAGTAAGAAAAGAGAGGTGGGGTTGGTCTTTCCACACAAGCAATATTCACTATAAAAAATTATTTTAACAGTGAGGGTGGGGTGGAGAGCACAGTATGTTGTTGCTGCTTTCAGGAAAACAAAAGTGGAGGCCGGGCATGTTGGCTCATGCTTGTACTCCCAGCACTTTGGGAGGCCGAGGCGGGAGGATCGCTTGAACCCAGGAGTTTGAGACCAGCCTGGGCCACATAGTGAGACCTTGTGTCTACAAAAATCCAACAAGATTAGCCAGGTGTGGTAGAGCATGCCTGTAGTCCCAGCTACTCTGGAGGCTGAGAAGGGATGGGAGGATTGATTGAGCCCGGAGTTCAAGGCTACAGTGAGCAATGAGCTCATCTGAGTGAGACACTGACTCAAGAAGAAAAAAAAAAGCAAAGTAAAATAAAACAAAATAAGGAAAGGAAGCCTGGAGAAGAAGGCAGGCTTGCCCTCTGACTGGGGCCATGGGAGGCATGACAGCCCGGGCCACGTCTCAGAGTGCATGGTGCCTCCTCTCTCGCTTCTCTTAAAGCCACTAGTCAGCGCCTTTGGTGGGTGTGCTCACGGGGGACAGCGGTGGGCCATGGGTTGTGCAACCACGCCAGCTTCTCTTGTCCATGTTCCTTCACAACTGGCCCAGCGTGGGGCTGCGTCGGCCACGTTAGAATTTGGCATGAAGGGGGCACACATCTCTGCTCATGTCCAGAGTGAACGTACATTTTGAGGGGGGACGTTTCTCAGTGTCTGCCTCTTACGGGTTTTGGCTTCCTCGTGTCTATTGACCGTTGATCCATGTCCGTGTCACTCACAAGAGGGGACTGTCCTGGGAAGTGGCACTGACACACAGGAAGCATGTGCGGATGGTGGCTTGCATTTATTGAGCACCCACTATGTGCCAGGCTTGATGAGTGTCATCTCAGCCTCGTTGTTGGCCTGCGAAGGAGGTCATGACATTCTTGAAGGTGGGGAAATGGTGGCACGGGCGTTGAGTTGCCAAGGTCACCCACATGGCAGCAGGCGGAACTCGTGCTTGCCTCCCGGAGGCTGCCTCCCCAGCCTGCACCATCACCCTGGCCTGCAGCGCTTGTGTCTTCCCGCACCTGCATCCTTGTGGGGAACCCCTTTATGAAAAAGCCAGGAGGGGGCATCTCTGCTCTTAAGGGAAAATGCGCTTTCATGACTCAAGCTTTCCCCGTTTTACTGCTCAACAGTCTTCAGATAAGCAGAATTTCAGAAAGGAAGCAAGATAAAACTGACTTGGCTGGGTGTGGTAGCTTCTGTCATCTCAGCACTTTGGGAGACCAAGGGGGAGGATTGCTTGAACCCAGGAGCTCAGCAGCTCGAGACCAGCCTGGGCAACATAGCGATACTGCATCTCCACAAAAAAGTTTTTAAAAGTTAGCCAGGCATGGTGGCAAGCCCCTGTAATCCCAGTGACTTGGGAAGCTGAGGTGGAAGGATCTTCTGAGCCCGGGAGATGACAGCTGCGGTGAGCCGTGATCGTGCCACCGTACTCCAGCCTGGGAGACAGTGAGACCCCAACTCAAAAAATGCAAAACCAAAAAACGAGAGTGGACTTGCCCGTGTCCTGTAGGTGCACAAGGCACGCCCAGGGCTGAGATTCTGTTCTACAGATTATCCTCCTGGCCTCAGTGCTTAGAGGAGACAGGTCCACAGCGTCCAGGTGACCCAGGAGGGGTGTGGGCACAGCACTTGGCGTGAACGCGACTCCACCCGTGAAGCTGTGTCTCTCTTCCTTCTCACCTTCACATGCCCGTGAGCCCCTGGGGACGTTGTCAGAGGGCGGAGTCTGAGCAGGTGGGGGTTTCCAGATGAAGCCAAGGCTGCTGGTCCGTGGACCACAGTTTGAGTAGCAAGGACATAGAGGCCCGAATTCTTTGTTCACGTCAACAGCTCCTGTACCTGGCAGGTGATATTTCCGCCCCATCCTTCCTGCCCCCCCGCCCCGTCTCCAGTGTCCATCATGTTCCTGTCTCTGCCTTTGCCGATCCTTGGTTTAGTTCCCACTCATGAGTGACAACCTGCAGTGTCAGTTTCCTGTCCCTGTGTTAGTTCATTTGGGATGATGCTCTCCAGTTCCATCCAAGTTGCTGCAGAAAACATCACCTCACTCTTTTTGACGACTGTACGGTGTATTCCGTGGTGATGTGCGCCCAATCCGTGGATGGTTGACGGCCATTGAGGTTGACTCCGTATCCTCGTAGTTGTGCGTCATGCTACCGTGAACGTGCGGCTGCAGGGGTCTTTCCTGTGACCACCGGAGGCCCTGCTTCTTGTCCGGCTCTGTGCCCGGCTCTCAGCAACGTTGTTGGGATTGCCACTTCATGCCAGGAGAGCCACTGGCACCAGAGGGGAGAGAGACCCAGGGCTCCTGGCCAGAGGGGGTGTGTCCTGGGCTGTCCTGGGCTCCTAGTAAGGGGTGGGCTTGGCGGGGGGCACATTGGTGGGATTTTCGGGGCCTCCGTGTCCTAGTTGGTGCCATACAGGATTGGCGCTCTATGGCTTGCAAGACCGCACCCACTCTGAGTCACCTGTCACCTCATGAGAGGGTGAGGACACACCCCTGCCAAGGAAGACCCCTCTGGGGAACAGCCATCATAGGCTGGCAGTTAGACTGAGGGGCTCGGAGGGATGCTGGCACGGAAGGGGTCTCTCCATCAGGGGAAGGGGCCATCTTGGGCTCATTCACGCTGGGGCAGGGAGCCTGAACCAGCCCTGAGGCTAGGATGAGTATTCCAGCTCTTCGATGTGCAGATAGAGAGGAAGAAATGCCTTGGGTGGCTTTGTGTTGAGTCTTTGGAACTGCTTTTTTTTTCCTCAAGGAAAGTTGCAGAAACTTGATCATTGACCATGTAAAATAAGGCACACATGACTGAGAAACTCCCCCGCCTCGGTCCCTTGTCGTGCTGGGTGGGAGCAGGTCATTTTGAAACATGATTGTAAAGTACAGGCGCTCTCTCTCCTGACTGATGTGACCACTGTGTCTTGTATCATAAGGAGAAGACCCCCTACGCCCTTCAAAATAAGGCAGCAAAAAAACCCAACAGAACCTTTTTTAAAAAAAAATCTGTAGGGAGTTTAAGTAGTAAAAACAAAACAAAGGAAAGCTTGGGTGATTAATTTTTTAAACAGACAGTTAAAGTGATATTTTTCACAAAGTCGGCCAAGGCTCTGACAGCTATCGATGCTGTTAAATGAAGTGATTTGGCTTTTAAAAAGGAAGTAAATGCCTGGTTAAAATTTTTCAAGCCGAGCACATTGAAAGGCGTGCAGATGTCCTTTCTGGATTGCCTTCGGTTCTGGGTGACCACTCCAAACCTGGATGTCAGCTGGGCTTGGTGGCTCACGCCTGTCATCCCAGCACTTGGGAGGCCAAGGCGGTAGGATCGCTTGAACCCAGGAGTTCGAGACCAGCCTGGGCAACATAACAAAAACTACAAAAAAAAAAAAAATTAAAAAAATTAACTGGGCATGGCGGCACATGTCTATAGTGTCCCGGCTACTTGGGAGGCTGAGGCGGGAGGATTGTCTGAGCCCAGGATGTCGAGGCTGTGGTGAGCCATGATTGTGCCGCTGCACTCCAGCCTTGGTGACAGAGGAGACACCTACTCAAAAAGAAGCTTGGATGTCATCTTGCTGTGTTTGAAAGGTTGTTAGTGCGTAACTGGGCTTTGGGGTCTGCTGGAGAAAAGACAGAGCCATCTGAGCCTGCATTTATGTACTCATTCATTCATTCATTCATTCACAGACACTTGATGAGCTTGCAGCAACTGTAGGTCGAGGCTTTGGTGCCGGCAAAATTTGACACGGAGACTGCTTTCTGGGTACTGGCAGT